TAGTAGTACATACACTATATATATATATATATATATATATATATATATATACACACCCATATACACACACACACACGGTTTTTCTTATATTACTATTATATCTTAAGACTTCCACAAATGCAGAATGTATTTGGAAGTTATATTTTAAAATGTTCAGCTTCAACAACTATTGATTTATTAAGGCTACTAGCAGATTTCTGATTATGAAAGCACGGTTTTTAATCACATTTGCTCTGTGTCCCTTTCAACAGAAAGTGGGGAGAACCTTACATTTTCAATTCTCAAACTCCTCACCTACTTAGCCAACTTCATATTGATGCTCAGGAAACAGGATCGCACCAAAAGACAGCAACCTGTGCTTCTGGGGTTGTAGAACTCTCCTGCATTCAGAAGCACGTAATTTCACCCCAAAGGGCTGAGTTTTCTGTGAAGCAGATGTACTCAATGGGCTGCATGGCTAACAAGCAAGTCCAAAAACTCAGAAGAACAATTCCCAGCCCATGCTAGTTTGGCTCTAATCAAGACCCAATGGGCCTTGAGCTGTCAACATGAAGACGACTCCACTACACAATGGCAAAACTCCTGGGGTAAGCAGGCTGCTTACATTGTTGTTTATTAAGACGTATCTTTGCCTTGTCGAAGATGGACTGTGCTGTTCTTTCAAACCTGTTTCTCCGTAACTTCCTGCTTGGCAGTATCAGACCTGTTCACAAGGGGGTTGGTTTGCCTGCAGAACTGGAAGTTGTGCTAGATTCCGGACCAGTTCCTAGGCCGCTCCCACTAAGGAAGCGTAGGTAAGCAGGGTTTGTTAAAGACACAGTCTGGTTTTCCTTTCCTCTCCCAGACATATTAAACTGCACTTAAAGTTCCTTTATAGCAAGAGACAGCTGGAGACAGACTTATTTAAACACATTTTGAGTTTTACAATGCCCATTCATTCAAGCAGTATTTTAAATATCTAAAGACATTAAAGAATGCCTTGAATCTAACACACTGCTTCTCAAGGGAGTGGCTTCAGAAGCTGCAGCTTTTGTCACTAATAGCTCCATTCAAAGCAGGTTAAACCACTGTTTACTGCAAGGAGAGAACCTTCTTTTTTGATGACATTCCTGCATTGCTAGCACAGCTCTCTTATCAGGCCTCTTCATTTAACCTTTTCACTGCTGTCAGTACACGCATGTGCCACAGCATGAGTTTTAAACGGAAAAGCAGGACATACTATGCCCAACCACACTGAAAGAGAAAGTGTCCTTGCTACCTTTATCTGTTCAGTGCTGAATTATGTCACTTGTCTATTACAGTTTAACAGCAGGCAAGTTTTTGTGCTTTACACAGTAACAATACCACCTTGCATTTTATATATAGATGTTGATCCTATACGGGATTTTTCTTCCACAGATTTCAAAGCTGGGATGAAACCAGGCAGTTCTGCTGCTAATAAAATCTTGACATCATACCACATCATCATTTATTTTATGACATAATTTACTAGAAGACCAACTTGCAAAGGTGCTAGAGAGTTTAAAAGACGAATCATACTATTTTTCATATCCCTCTACCTCACAAATCAGATTGCCTTAGTACGAGTCCAACTGTACATGGTGGGGGAGAAGAAAATATCTAATGCATTTTAAAAAGTCTCCATAAAATAGTTTTCGTATTCATAACATTGCAGTATTAAAGGACTGATATTGCAAAATCTACTAAATCTAGAAACAAAAGTCTTACACCACTGGAAAGAAGAGATTCTCAACTCTTCTGTTTCTAGCTCTGGTAATTGATAACGAATGTTAAACTGGTCACTGGTCCAATATCAAATCCTGCCTGTCCTAGGATTCAGGATAGTGCAGTTTTGGGAGGGAGAAAATTATTTTTGGAGCAGGCAGTTTTGTGGTTCTTTTAGGACCTGTTTGAAGCAGCTCAGAAACATTAGATGTTATCTCAAGTATAGCTGAACTAGTGGGCAAAGTACAGGTGGAAGGGTCAAGAGAACACAAATGCATGCAATTTACTCATGACTCTCATATTAACACATTACATGTTTAAGAATGGCTCAAACAATATAGCTCTTCCTTTGGGAACAGGAGGTCACATGTTACAATCCAACACTAGCATGTGGTTCTTGATACTGCCCTACAATACTTCAGAATGAGCATGGAATGCATTTTTCACAATTATAGGAGTTTGGATGAGAAACTAAACAGACGTTCTTTCTGTGACTCTCTGCAGACTTTCAAGATAAAAGTTAATAGATTCTGGCCAGTTGTGCAGGGGAGTAGGGAGGGAGAAGCACAACAAATTCCCCTCCCTCCCATGCTCCCTTGTGCCCCTGCACAAGGATGGCTAGAATTAGCCTGGGAGAATGCAGTCCCTGCTCCCAATTAGCTCTCTACAACAGCACTAGCTGCTCAAAAGGGAGTGGGGAAAAGACTCCCCCACATACCTCCATCAGCATTGAGGAGTTGGCTGGCTGCAAGGGTGGCAGAGCTATTGCTCTGGTATGTATGCCTTGGAAACTTCAAGAGGAATTCTAGTTACTTGATCCCACACCCCTAAAGCTCTCTTCTGCCTCCTGCAATGTAATTGCACTCAGGAGCAATTCTGTACCCAGCAAAGGGGGAAGGATAGCTCAGTGGTTTGAGCATTGGCCTACTACACCCAGAATTGCAAGTTCAATCCTTGAGGGGGCCATTTAGGGAACTGGGGTAAAAACCTGTCTGGGGATTGGTCCTGCTTTGAGCAGGTGGTTGGACTAGATGACCTCCTGAGGTCCCTTCCAACCCTGTGATTCTATGAAAGCTCAAAATAGCTAACTGACTAAACTAAAATTCAGAGTGAAAAATAAATCCAAAACTGCTAAGGAAGAGAACTTGCAGGAGTTAAAACTGAAACCTGATTACGAGTTATACTTGTTCTGTTAGAAATCAGAAGCACTTTTGTTATGTTTGGTCAGGGTTTTAATGACATGCCTGATTAGATTTTGCTTTGCTGATTCTCCCTCAACAAAATGCAAATGGACATTTATGACACCAAGGGACTATAGGACGTGAAGCTACTAATATACATTTCAGTGTCTGTGAAATTTATTATATTACGGATAGGTCAATAGTGACTCTACATTAAGACAGCATACACTTTTTAAAATATTGACTAACTTGATGAGGAAATTTTCAAAATGCTCCCTTTTTGACTAATGACAGAGATAATTTTTTAAAATATTGCCACAATAGCTCTCTAATGCCATAGGCTTCCCCCTCATTCAGCTTCCCTAGCCACCATGACAATGTGAAAATAATTTTTCTCCCTCCCAAGGCATTCACAAGGGGAGACAAGCAGGCTCCCCAGTAATTGACGGGGGCACAGAGCTCCTCCGGCCCCGGGGTGGGAGCTGACAGCTCCTTCAGCCCCAGGACGGGGCCCAGAATGCGCCCCTCCAAAAACAGTGAAATTTAAATTCCTGCACATGCCCCTGCCTCCTTTTATTATTAGTAACATCAATTTTTATCCACGATGAGCTGGATTAAGATACAGTATCCATACCCATTCCTGTAGTAGTAACATCTACAAGAAAATGTGTCCAGTACAAGAAAAATATGAGGTTGGAGTGATTGTGCACTTGAATAGGAGACAGTGAGGAATTGGGTGGATACATTGTAGTTGTCTATACTGGATGCTGGAATTGAAAAAGAGTTTGACATGGAGTTATGAGTGTGACAGTATATTCGGTTTGTAAGGGATGTGGATTTGTGGCTGATCTGGAAGTTAAATGTTACCTTAAATGGTGTTTTCCTTGAATTTTAGTGTTTGTATTTCTTTTAAACACGTTTGAGCCACCTTAACGCTAAGTTAGCTAAGATTATGTGCAGGATATGTATATAAACAGTGCAGCAGATTTAAGTCTCTGGGGGACATTCTCCTGCAATGTTATATTTGTGTATCTTGGTGCTTAGCTGCCTCTGTTTTGAAATATTAAAACAATGAGAACTGTGAGTTATAGCAAAGAGATCCAGAGAAGCATGTTATTTGCATTGACTCTTTGCAACAAACATGTCATTGCATTTTCAGGAAGAATCATCAGATTAAGTGTACACAAGTTGCCATATGAATCAAGCTACCTAGCAGAAGTTGCCAAAACACACCTGTATGTAGTTCAGCCTTCATCTTTGTTGTGTCTTTTCAGCTCAAGGGTTATATTGAGCTGGTTGGCAGAGGGTTCAACCTAGTTTACTTTTCTTGAGATGATGCCAATTTGTTTTCCAGAATCTAAGCCTATTCATAAAAAAAAAGTCTCTCTCTCATGGTCACAAAGATTACCTTAAAAATGTGAACCAAATATAAATCAATCCAGTAATATCTGCCTGAGTTTACAGATAGCCTGAAACAATAGCTCCAAAAGAGGTGTGAGCTGCTCTGCCATCTCAACGGAGTTATTAACTTTGCAGATAATGACAACATTTTAAATGTAAATGCAAGAAAAGAGAAGAATCATCATATTATGAAGATCTTCTTTGACTGGAGTCTCATTCTGGAATCTGAAGTGAGTGGAGCCTGGGAGAGTACCAATACTTTCTTCCACCCCACCCCAACTTCAACTATTGATTGGAATACTTGAAGAACCAAACCTCTGTTTCTGAAATCATTTAGCCTCCAGTGCAGGTCTTGTGCTCACTAGAGAAAGTGATCCTTAGCCTTTTTTTTTTTTTAATAGTATTGATCAGCTACATTACTCCCCCCCTCCCCTAAAAAACAAAAAACCTTACCTTGTCCAGCAGTGCATTCTGCCATAAGCGGAAGATACTGAGGTAGCTTCTATCTCTAGCACTGAAGGATGTGAAGAAAAACTGTATGGAAGATAAGATGATAGCTTGCTTTATTGAATTCCCTCAAAATCATGGCCCCAGGGAAATGGATTAATACCTACAACTAGGCAGTCAATGTGATATGCAGCTATTGAGGACACTTACTGAAGCCTGTACAAAAGGCTAGATTCCCACTGTCTATACCAGGGGTCGGCAACGTTCGGCACGCAGCTCGCCAGGATAAGCACTCTGGCAGGCCGGGCCAGTTTTATTACCTGCTGACGCGGCAGGTTCGGCCAATCGCGGCCCCCACTGGCCGCGGTTTGCCGTCCCGGGCCAATGGGGGCAGCGAGAAGCCGTGGCCCGCGCCGCTTCTCGCT